CCTATTATGCACAATGGGGATAGAGCAAGAAATAAGAATGCCTTTGATTTACAATGTAGTGGTAGCAGAACCAAGAAAAGGAGCAACTGCAGAAAGCAGTAGGTTCCATTACAGGTAAGGAGAGAGGACATGAATGATTTAGAAAAGAGAAGCATAAGACATCCTGAAGTGGTTTGGTAGAAACAAAAAAAAATGGAAATACCCAAAAAAGTAATGTCATTGAGTAACTAACATCTTCACTCACTTCTAAAGGATGAATTAAGGGTGATTCAGGCCAGAAGTGTCAGGGATTAAGAGAGCAGGCATTCCCATTGCATCAAGAGGCCAGCTAAGAGCCCAGAAGGGGGAAAACCAGCACTGCCTCGTTTGGTCAGAAGTAATATCTCAAAACACTGAGGAGTGCAGTGATTTGCACCTGGTGATAACTTCTACGTAGAATTGATGCACAAAGTAGAGACTGAAGAGTTTAAAACAAGTTTGGAGCTGAAGAATGCTAGAAAAATGACTGTCACTATTTTAGTTACTCCCCTCCCCCATGGTCCTTTTATGTAAGCATAGCAGGATGGGAATGGAAATTATCGTCTTCATAGTGTCCACTAAGGCTAGACTATTACCAATTGATCACGTGATTTTGCCTAAAGTGTAACTTCTCTGACTTCCTGCTCCACACTTCTTTTTTTCCCACCGAGTATAGAAAACTCTTCTCACCCATCCTATCAAGCATTTCCAAAGATCCAGATCAACATTTTATTTTTCAGTTGTTTTCTACATACAAAAATTTTCAGGGCACCTGTGGCTCACGTCTGCAATCTTAGCTACCCAGGAGGCTGATGTGAGGATTACAATTTGAAGCCATCTGGGAAAGAAACATCTTAAGACTCTTATCACCAATTAATCACTGAAAAAGCCATGGAGCCACGGAGCCATTCCTTAAGTAGTAGAGAGCTAGCATTGAGCAAGAAAGTTCAGAGACAGTGTTCAGGCTCTGAGTTCAAGCCCCGAGACCTGCACACACACCAAAAAGTCTTGGGTAGTTCTGGAAATGATAACTGAGTGTCTTCCATATGGAACAAGTATACAGTCAATGAATGTCTATGAATTTTTAATGGCTTTTAATGATTTAAAGTGAAGGGTAGACAAAGGGAGGTTAGATTCATTTTGGACAATTGTATATACATATTGGGCCTACTACTACTACTACTACTAATAATAATAATTCTAGCTCTATGTTCTTAAGCTTAGAGTAATGTTATTTCAAAAGCTTACTTTATCTAGTTCACAGTACTTTATAAGCAAAGGGTTTCTTGGAAAGACTTTCTACTTCATGTGGCTACAAACCTTGAATGCAAGTATCCTGACAGCTACACCAGTGGATTCCTAAAATTTGTTATCATATCAACTTGGAATTTAACCTTTTCTTAGCTCACCTAAGACATAGAATAAAAGCGAAAGAAAGAAAGAAAGGAAGAAAGGAAGAAAGAAAGGAAGGAAGGAAGGAAGGAAGGAAGGAAGGAAGGAAGGAAGGAAGGAAAGAAGGAAGGAAGGAAAGAAGGAAGGAAGGAAGGAAGAAAAGGAAATCCACAACCCAGGGAAATTTGAAGGTCAAAAATTTATCAAACACTAAAATTTACTTATGGTTCAGAAGGCAATACAGGGCCCTTGCAAGGCTTCAGTCATTACTTTTGTCACTAACTATCAATGTATTTAAAGGAGTACAACTTACTAGAATACAAAACATAGTCAAACTAGCAGAATGACAGATCAAAATGTGCTTTTTTTTTCTCAAGATAATATAATGGATAGAAAAGTGTTAACAATGACTCCTTTGGTAATGGAGTAAACTACTTCGTTAAGTGGTAAAACTATCTATAGTTACAAACTTATAATCAATGCAAGTGTCTTATAAATGGGTGTATCTGGCAAAGAGTTATCAAGATAATGTGAATCTGCAGTATTTTATGATCCCTCCCATCTCAAATCATTATTTGCATATAGGTACAGAAGTATTTTAATCATTATAGTAATCCTAATGATACTTTTAATTCAGAGTCATTATCAATGACCTGTGTGTAAACTGAAAGGCATGTCAAAGAGGAAATGAAGAATTTATTACACAATTAACTTTGTTCAGAGTCCAAGCTATAAAAGACACTATTCATTGGGTACAGAAGATTTCTTCTTGAACTGCTTCATGATAATCAAGAAGGACATTGTTGGGTCTACTTGAATTTCAAGTCAGGGATGTTCTTTACTGCTGAAACAAGCATTTCTATTTCAGAACTGCTTCATGGGCCTTCAGATGGTTTGCTAAATATACTTAGCATTCGAGGATATGTGCATTTTCCAACAATTGCATTAGACGATGCTTATATATACACACACGAAAATGCAACTTGCTTTTAACAGAGTCATAAAACCTTTAAATATGATCCAAGTTTTGCAGAATTAGGAAAAATCATAATGAAGTTCAGTTTTTCAGACACATGCAGATGAAGCAATGAAACTTAATTTAAAATCTTTAAAAAATTATCAAGTCTATTGTTATCTAGTCATAACTCAGTCACAAATACCATACACACATCTCTGTTAAATGGTCTGATTTAACAATACCAGTCATATCCTAAGAAAATTAAACAAGAAAAAAATGATACATCCGTCTTTTCTAATTTTGGTAACAGAAAAAAATGTCATATAATATGGTCCAGAAATGGCTGGTAACAGGAACTTGTTTTCTGATCTGACTGCCATGTGACTACAGGAATAAATATTCCCCAGAGAACAATTCGAATTGACTTTCTTTATTTACTCTTTTTAAAAAACTACATTCTCTCCTGGTAATAATTGGAGCAACAGACAGGAAACAGCATCGTGTCTGGCTTGTGTTCAGAGAAGATTCATAAGTCTTCTGGGTATTGTGACTAGCTCTTATGTCCTGTTCTTATCTCTTACACAGAAGAGTGGTTTATGAGACACACCAGGCTCTGAAAGGGTCACACTAGATGTGTATTGGGAATGCAAGATTCAAACTATCTACTAAGGGCACAGCCTCACCTTTGATAATTTGCTTCCTTAGCTAGTATAGAGATGGATTATTGAATGATGGCACTGATCGAAATAAGGATGAATATTTCCTGTATTGTTTCTAACTCCAGAATAGGATAGGCCATTTAATGGGCTATGGTAATGAACTTTCATTTGCCATTTCTGTCTTCAACTTTCTCTTCATGATAGAATAAAATTGAAAAGACTTAACAATGAAAATTTTCCAAAGAAGTATTTTGAAGGTATTCTTTTTAATAGTCAAGGCAAGAGGTGATTGAAAAGGGCATATCTCAGGAACTGAAGAAAAAAAGGGAATGGGGTTAGAAATAATAAGATCCATGGGGGGAAGGGAAAGAGGGAGAAAAAGGAGGGAGGTGGTAACAAGTTCAACAAGATATGTACTCATTACATAAGGTAATGAGTATTTTAATCACCAAAAAGAAAATGGAAAAAATAATAAGACCCCCCAAATGGAGCAACCTGGGTATAAAAAAATAATGAATGCAAATAGTACAGTTGCATTAAACAAGAATGAAAATCTCAAACATTATTATTTGATTTTGAAGGACAATATAAGTAGGAAGGAGAGAGAGAAGAAAGGAGATATAAAGAGGAGATGCTTTGCATAGCAGCATTCCAAAGATGATGCTCTATAAAGAAAAATGGGTGTACAGATTAAAGCTTTAGAAAAATACATTTTGGACTGTCAGAAAGCAGACACATTATCTAAAAGAGAGAGAATTCAGAAATTAGTTGGATGTGATATATAAGAGATCACATTACATACAAATCTTATTATTTTAAGTGGTTATATAGTTATAATTTAAAATCAGAAAGGATTTAGAGGAATAAGTACAAATTTCCTTAGTCTGGGAAGTGTTCTAGGGGTAAAATTCAGAATAATATGTAATGGAGGCAGAAACAGAATAGAAAAAGAGTTGAAGATCATAAGACTGGATGGATATGAATTATTCTCATCCTAATTGAGACCAAATATAACAATCAGATTGATATTCAAGCACATAAGGACTAACGTCATGTACTTTTTTGAGTGAGGAATGGTACTTTTGGTTCCTCCTTTTTAGGCACAAATGAGAATTTAATAGTGAATACTTAGAATTAAGATTTAGAAGAAAAAGAGGGTTTTCCTTTTTTCTTTCTTTATTAATCCTTAGTGTTTAGCTACTTTCCTTGAGAAATACAGGAAATATTTCAGCATATGTGCCGATTAATATTAGGATTTGTAGTGTTCCCAAAAAAGACCTATTTGTGGAAAGCTTGACCACAAACGGTTGGTACTATTTTTTCAAGGTTCTGAAAGCTTTAGAGATAGGATCTACCTAGAGGAGGTAGGTCACTGTAAGAGAGTCCTTTTAGGAGATCTATCCCAGGTTTCTCCTATCCACTTCTATCCTCTTGGCTCCATTAAGTCTTCTAGCCATGATGAATTTCCCACAAGAAACCATGATTATAAAGCAAAACAAAACAAAACATTTTTTCTCTTAAGGTGTTTCTATGTTTTTCCTGTCTAGTATTTTTGCCATAGTTACACAAAAGTAACTAATATAGATTGAAATGTAGAAATGTAATAGGGTTTCAAAAATATATAGACATTGAACAATCAATGATCTAAAATAATAAAACTGAACCTGGTATGGAGTGATATGCTTGAGAATGTACTAAAACCCTAAAGAACATGAGAAGATTTCATCCTATACAAAGAAATGCAGGGAATGAAGGGTAGAATGTGTAAGATTGACATCAAAAATCTATGTCCTACACTGAATAAAATTCTAAATAGCTCAGTCTTTAGATTTGTTCAAACAAAAATAGTTTATTTCCAACCATCTTTGGGGCTGCATTGAAGTTTTTCTGCTGAAATCAACCACATAATGACAAGAGGACAATAAGTATGTCTTCAAAAATAAAGTAGAAGGAGAAATATTGAGCAGACCTACCTTTTGTAGAGAAGAATAGCAATGACAATGCAGATGATAAAGACCACTGCGAGGACAGGCCCTACAACCCAGATCAAGCCTTCCTCTTCATCTGTGATTGGCTGTGGGTCCAGATCCATTGACACAACAGGGTCAGAATAGGGGCTGGTTGCATACATCTTCTGAGGAAAAGCAGAGTCTATTTTAGTTTAAAAAGTGATGGCTTTCTTTTTTAATTGTCAAGGTGATATACAGAGGGATTACAGTTACATACCTAAGGTAGTGAGTGCTTTCCTTTTTGAACGTTGTTACCCCTCCCTCATTTTCTCCCACTTTCCCTTCTACCCAATCTCCTCAAAATTGTAAAGTTCATTTCCAATATGCTGTCTTGTGAATATCACTGTTCCATTTGTTTGCACTTTATACTTTGTCTGACCATTTTTTTATTCCCCTTCCTTTCCCTAATTCAGATAAATGTATACACAATACACAGGCTACCAAAATCAAATACAGTGACAACAGGTATAAACCACAGGGCAAAAATAATAAAAGAAAGCTGAAACAACTAACATAATACATTAAAAACAACAAAGAAAAAATCTCTTGTTTCCATAATTTGGAGTTCATTTAGCTTAGCATCATCTTATATGATGATATGTACATAGCTATTGAGCTACTGTGATCCTCTTCTAGGATGATCCAGACATATACTAATTATTAAAAATAAGGGAAAACATGGGATCTATGTTTCTGTGGGTCTGGCTTACTTCACTTAATATAATTTTTTCCAAGTATTTCCATTTCCTAACAAATGGGACAATGTCATTTTTTCTGATGGAAGCATAGAATTCCATTGTGTGTATATACCACATTTTCTTGGTGCATTCATCTACTGAGGGGCATCTGGGTTGCTTCCATATCTTAGCTATGGTAAATAATGCTGTAATGAACATGATTTTGCTGGTAGCTTTAGTATGGCTTTGTTTGTGATCATTTGGGTTAATGCCCAGAAGTAAGACTTCTGGGTCATAGAAAGCTCTATGTTTAGTCTTTTGAGGAATCTCTTGAGAGCATCATTCATATTAGAAAGATGAAAAAGTCCAAGACAATGAAGTTGAGGACAAAGGGATGGAGGATATTAGTTGGGTACAAATAGAAGGAATGGAGGGAATGTAAGGAAAGAACAAAACACAGAAGGAAGAAAAGAGAGAGTACAACATCATTTTCTTTATAGAGTGAAATATAATTATTCATAATGGTATGAAGTCACTGCTAAGTTTTAATGAGAACTATATATAATAATGAAAAATTGATGAAGTGTAAAATATCAATAACTAACTGTCCCAATATATTTGATATACATTGTACCAATGTTTAGTTGCTCTCTGAAAATCAAGAGAAACATTAGAGTTCCAGATTTAAGGCATTACAACTTAAATATACCTACTCTAAAAATTTGCAACCCAAAAATGCTCCGAAATCTAAAATACTCTGAAATCTAAACTGCTTTGAGCAATTTCAAAATATGTCATATTTCAGACTTTTGGATTAGAGAGGTTATACAGATAAATGTATAAATATTCCAAAATTGAAAAAAATCTCAGAAATCAGGAATACTTCTAGGCCCAAATATACTAGACAGGAGATGATCTGCATTACATGGTTAAAAAGATGGAAATTAATTAAATCTTAAATTTTGACCATGCTCCTTTGGTTTGTTGTTAGGACAAAAACAATGGAAGGCTAAGTCTACAATTCATAAAGAGAACTACATTCTAATGGTCAGATAATAGATGCAAAGTTATGTAGAACTGATGTTGCTTTCAAAAAGAATGTTTCAAAAAGAAAGATTTTTTTAGAACTTTAAAGAAGTTACCATTTATGTTTGCATCTTGTCTTACTGCTGTAGCTAGGCATTCTAATACTATATTGAAGAGCAGTGCAGAGAGTGGACATCCTTGTCTCGTTCCTGAGTTTAGAGGAAATGGCTTTAGCTTTTCACCATTAAGTGTAATGCTGGCTGTAGGTTTGTCATATACAGCCTTTATTGTATTTGAGGAATGTTCCATGGATTCCTAATTTTTCTAGAACCTTCATCATAAAGGGGTGTTGGATCTTGTCAAATGCTTTTTCTGCATCTATTGAGATAACCATGTGGTTCTTGTCCTTGATCTTGTTGATGTGTGAATTATGTTAATTGATTTTCGTATATTGAACCAGCTTTGCATCCCTGAAATGAATCCTGTTTGATCATGGTGTATGATTTTTTGGATGAATTGTTGAAGTCGATTGGCCAAAATTTTGTTGAGAAGTTTTGTATCAATGTTCATCAAAGAAATTGGTCTATAGTTCTCTTTCTTTGATGAGTTCCTGTCTGGTTTGGGGATGAGGGTTATTATGGCTTCATAGAATGCATTCAAATAATCACAAACAAGACCATACTAAAGCTACCAGCACAACTATGTTTATCGCAGCATTATATACCATAGCTAAGATATGGAACCAACCCAGATGCACCTCAGTAGATGAATGGGTCAAGAAAATGTGGTATATATACACAATGGAATTCTATGCCTCCATCAGAAGGAATGCCATTACCCCATTTGTTAGGAAATGGAAATATATGGAAAAAATTATATTAAGTGAAGTAAGCCAGGACCAAAAGAACATAGGTCCCATGGTTTCCCTTATTTGCAATAAATAGTATATGTCTGAGTCAAGCAGAAGAGGTAAGATAAGTTGATGTTTGGGAATGAACCCCAAGATAAGTATTCAAAATGTTTTTGTTCTTTCATGCAATTGTTTCTAACATATTTATAAGATGATTACTATGTTGCTTTGTATGTCCCTCCCCCACAGTATAGGCCCTGCTTTTGCTGTATTTGATGTTGGTATCATTTGTGGCGGGGAAGGGCAAAAACAAATCGTTTAAGTAGGGATACAAGTGGACCCATTGCAACAATGAGATATACAAGTCGCTATGTGGAAAAATGAACTTTACAACTTTGGGGAGGGGATCAGGTGAGGGGAGGCGGGAGGAGTACGAGAAGGGATGGAAAGGGAAAACAAAGAGGAGGCAACAATGCTTGATAAGAATTGTACTTGTTATCTTGCCCATGTAATTGTAACTTCTCTATATGGTATTCTCACAATAAAAAAAAAGAAGTTACCAGTTCCTATTTAATTTTGTTAGAGGTATGTTTGGAGGTTGCTTTGCTGTTTCCAACAAATAATGTATACTTTTGAAACTTACATTTTCTTGGTAAAGGGAAGTACTACTGTATATCTATGAACTTTGTTTCTGTAATCTTCTATTTCAGAAAAATATTCTCATAATTCTTTCCCTGAAGTATTTCCACAATTCCATCTATTAAAACTTTTCCTACTTAATAAACAATTCATACTCATTGGACATCTTGGTTTTCCTGATTCTCTATCACATCTCACTCAAACATCAACACTGGTGTTATTAATTAATTTGCAAATCTAATTGCTTTTACTCAGTTTTTACTCTTCTGAATATCTTTCTCAGATTTGCTCTGGTTAACAAAGACTCTGTGTGTGTGTGTGTGTGTGTGTGTGTGTGTGTGTGTGTGTGTGTGTGTGTGCATGAGTCAGTAATGGGATGTGAACCCGTATCTATTTTATTCAAGGCTGATGCACTACAAATTGAGCTACAGTTCCATTTCAGCTTTTCATGATCAACTGGAGATAAGAATCTCAGGGACATTTCTGCCTTGGCTGGCTTTGAGGCTTCATGCTCACATTTCAGCTTCCTGAGTAGGATTATGGGATGTGAACAAAATGGCATCCAGGTGACCAAAGATTTTTAAAAACATCTCTTTATGACTTTCTTAGTTCTAAATTCAATTGCTTCCTTCCTAATCTTTCCTAGTGATCTTCAGCTCTCAGACTCCTCAGTAGAAGGATTATAAGGTGTGAACCACTGGCACACAGCTCACTGAAGATATTTTTCTTTAATTTCTTTCTTTGATTTTAATATTTCTAAATTTGTCTCCTTCCTAAACTCTCCAACCTGCTTGAACTCTATTAAGTTCGATTCCTTTGACTGTGTGTCTCAGGGGACAGTATTCTTAAGTTTTGCTGTTCACTAGCCTGCCTTTCTCAACCCTAACTTTAACTGCTAGCTTGTGAACATATTATTTCCTCATTAATGTTCCTAAACTCAGGAACTCTACTAATTCCCAAACTTTCCCATACACATCTTCTTCTGGTTTCCCCAGTATTTCTTATCTCACTATCAAGGAGACTATTGACTTTCCTTCTCAGTGACATACATGTCGCCAGGCCTGTATGCTACCTCTACAGTCTCATGGTTACTATTGTTAATATAGGATATCATTCATGCCCTCCTGTCCATCCATATAAGAATTTTTTCTTCCTTCTAATCATCATAACTGCTGTTAGAGTTATTGTCCTAAATTAAAACCATTCTTAAGAGGCTCTGGTAATCTCTAGTTAAAACCTAAGTATCTTCTGAGGATTCTCTAGAGCCCTCACAATTTTTCCAACCACATCTAACCAATTCTGTACCAGTGAGCTTTTTTGCTACAGTTCCATAAATGTTCATTCTATTCTTGCTCCTTAACACTCTAACAATTTCCACAACATTTAGTTCTTAAAATTCAACCACTCTCCAAAGACCCACTTAAGTACATCCTCCTAACAGGAAGAAATCAGCCATTACAAAAATATACACATGAAAATAATGTATGTAAAGAATTTACTTAGTCTTTTATACCTTTTTATATAGTGTCCACCATACTTTGTTTTAAATTTGTATATATGCTTCTTTGCATTTATATGTGACTAGTATAGACTTTGAATTTAGTAAGTTCTCAGCAAATCTGGAATAAAATAATGAATAACTGATCTTTTCCAATGGCTGAGACATGAGTGAAAATGCCCACTTTTCAAGATTAGCAAATATATGTTTGTTTTTGTTTTCTGTCAGTTGTGGGGCTTGAATTCTAGGTATGGGAGCTGTCGCTCAGCTCTTCAGCTCAAGGTTAGCACTTTACCACTTGAGCCACAGTGCCACTTCTGACTTTTTCTGTTTATATGGTGCTGAGGAATTGAACCTAGGTCCTCATGCATGCGAAGCAAGCACTCTACCACTGAGCCACCTTCCCAACCCAAATATATGTATTTTTAAAACATTTTACACTTTCAATATTTATTATAAAGCTACAGTAATCAAGACAATGGGGTATTAGTTTCAAGACAGAAAACCTGGTCAATGGAAGCCAACAGAGTCCAGAAACAGATCCTCAAATATGCAGAGAGCTGATTTTCAACAAACATACCAAGCTACGGAAGTGGAGTTAAAGGCTTTGTTCACTTCTTAAACTTGGTAATCTGTGTGCCAATAATATACAAATGATGTTTGAATGTTTTTTTAATGTATTTAGCCTCCTCCATCTTTTAAAGCACAGTTAAGGCATATATTCTGAATTTTATTGCAATAAGCTCAGCAAGCAAGGCAACCAGGAGAATGCATTTCCCTGAATTATTATATTTTACTCTTTCTTCCTAATTTTTTATTTGCTCAAAAAGGAACTCACCTGACTTTCTAATATATCAATACAAGATGAAAGCTTAGTACACATTTTCAGCCTTTCAGAAGCAAGAGAAAGAAAAGGAAAGAAACATGAGAGAGGAGAGAGAGAGAAAGAGAGACAGAGACTGAAACTGAGATAGAAAGACAGAGACAGAGACTGAGATAGAAAGAGGGTATGGAATGCATACAAATAATGCAGTATAAGAATTTACAAACAGAACTTGAAAAATTGACTATATAGCCAAAAATATAATTTTTATTAAAATTTTTGTTTTGATTTATACTTGGTCTTATTTTGTAGATTATACTCAACTTGATGGAGTAAGCATAAACTCAATCCATGATTTGAAATTCTTTAATAATATGGGGGTTTGACCTACCATCCTCATATCTCAGCCTCCTGAGTAGCTAGGATTATAGATGTGAGCCTCTGGGGCCCAGCTGAGGTAAGACTTGTTAATCTAGATGGAATATCGCAACAATGAGATGTACAAGTCGTTATGTTGAAAAAGGAACTGTACAACTTTGGTGGGAGGGGAGGGAGATGGGAAGGGATGCGAAGGAATGGGAAGGGTAAACAAAGGAGGAGGTATGCTTGATAAGAAATGTACTCATTATCTTGCCCATGTAATTGTAACCCCCTCTATATGGTATTTTCACAATTTAAAAAAAAAGATGGAAATCTAAGCAGAATTTTTTCCAAAACACATAGATTTTCTCTCTGAATCAGGAAACAGAGGCATAATAATGTGGAAAACAAAGCCATGGAAGTTGAAAAGTAGAATTGCTCTTTGGGTAAGAATAATAAAAAGACTGAATTGTAAGTCATTTTAAAACTAGTTCTCTAGTATTTTTAATATGAGAGAATAGATTGAAGGAGGCTCATATCTTTGATGGAAGAGGCTGGAGAGGCGAGAAATAATTTTTGTCCCTTCAAATTGTCAACCAATCAATAGAGGGTTTGGATATAATTAGCAGACATGCAAATCTGAAGCTTACATAAAACCTACATTACTAAAAAATTAGAAGAGTTGGATGCAATACTTGGCTATAAAGTAAAATGAGAGTAATGTCAAGAAATAAGATGGTGAAAGAAGAATTAAGTTTTGGTGTGTATTATGAATTTATTAAAAATAAATGACAGAAAAGTAAAACAGACTCTGTTGGGGTGAGTATGGACAATTGGGTGAGAGGGAATGGAGAGAGTAAATGAGAGTAAATAATGGTTCAAGTGCCTTATATACATACATAAGCAAGAAACCAGTTGATGCTGTTTTAAGGTAGAGGGGAAAAGAAAAGAATAATAGAGGGCACTAAGATTTATGTGACAGGGGCTGGGAAGGTGTTTCAGTGGTAGAGCACTCGCCTTGCATGCCTGAGGCCCTGGGTTCGATTCCTCAGCACCACATAAGCAGAAAGGAAAAAAAGCCGGAAGTGGTGCTGTGGCTCAAGTGGTAGAGCACTAGCCTTGAGCTGAAGAGCTGAGGGACAGCACCCAGGCCCAGAGTTCAGGCCCCACAACCGGACCCCCACCCCCCAAAAAAAGATTAATGTGATACACTGTATGCATATATTGAATGTCACAATGAAAGTCCCCTTGTAAACTAATGTATGAATGAGAGTATTAAAATGAAAAAATGACATATTACAGATAAGATTCGACTATACACTGGTGAGGATAGATCTAAACACTTTTGAAGAGCATGGGGAGACTTCAGAAGCCAGTCTCTGAGAAAGAGCCATCGGTCTACATGATCTGTCTGATGAGACTTTTCTTTGCTGAATTTTCTGATTTACCTCAATGAGGTGAAAGTGCTTTTTGAAATCTGTCTAGAGACAAAAATATCTAAAGACAAAATTCTCTCATCTACTTTTTAAAAGAATGAGATGCTTTCCAATATCCCATTTCCTTGAGGTTCTTTTTTTTAAAGTTTTCAACTGGAGAGAACATGTCCTGTATATTAAAATTCCAGGAAAGCCTTCACTTTGTTTTGAAATGGCATTTTGCACACAAAGGTAAATCAGGCTGCCTTTGTGTTTTGATTTTCTATAAGGGAGTTTCCTTCAGTCATTTGAGTAACAGCCTCACAGTCTACACTAACCCCTGATGTGGAAAAACCTTTGAGATATTCTGAACTTCTTATATACAGAAAGTGGCTGGCTCAATGAACTGCCATGCCTGTCAGATTTAAGTTCCGATTTAAAATGATACAATGTGGAATATGTATATTAAATGTTAATATAAACTGTCAGTTCAAAATCTACCCCACTTCTCATCTACAATTTCTTCCCTCTTGTTTTGTTTAAAATCCAAAGCCATTGAAGCATAAAATGGCAGAAGAGCAAGATGAGTTACATAAAATAAGACAACTCATTATTTAAACTTCTTTATGAATTCTTTCATTGATTTTTTTTCTTGGGCTTTCAATGATAAAGTCACTCGTAAGTTGCTGCAATTATGGAAGCTGATTGTACTTCCTTCTTAGATTGACTTTCTGGTGAGGCAGGCTAGAGGCACTATTCCTCACTGGCAGGCATAGAAGAATAATTATTCTCCAATATTTTCAAATATTTTCAAATAGAATATATTAAATTACAGAGCTTGTTTCATGTTGTAATCACAATATGAAGTAATAACAATGACTATCCCAAATATTACGTGGGATGAGAACGGTATTTTATTTTTCTGAAAATGGTCATCTTTAATGAATGAGAGATGAGTAGGCAGAGATTAATATTCTATTATGTATGTTACATTGATGGGTCTAAAGAACTAGGACCCAACTGTCTCGAATTTCATACACTAGAAGTATACCTGAACTCTTGTCATCCATTATCATATTGTAAAGTAGGGTTATGTGGTATATCCAGCCATGTTGGAAGATTAAGCGTACTATTGCTACATATGAGCTAAAGACAGCTCATGAGAAACAATTACGATGAAGATTCCTATGTATTCCCAAATAACCACATAGTGTGCTGGTGAAAATGTGTAGTTCTAGCATAGAAAACAGATGCCATCACAAATTAACTTACAGACTCTGCATGTTCCATCACCGCTAACACGAAGAAGACATATTCTTGACCACTTTGGAGTTGCTTGTTTGTAAATCCACCGTAATGCTTGTCATCCCCCAGGGTGAACTCAGTAGGCAGAACATCAAAGTGAGCTGCAATATATGGCTTTAATTCGACTTCTCTCCCATAACGGATGCTTCTGCGTTTCCTAGATATCTCCTTAAGCAGCTTAAAGAAAAAGTGAGAAACGGAGAATGAAATGTAAACAACTATCCAAATTATTGATGTTAAAAAAGGTGAAATGTTTAAAAGGGTGAAATCAGTTCATGACTGGGAATCACCCATATAAAATTTGTCCACATTCCACAACACATGCTACCACCACGGGCTTTTAGGTAGTTTGATCCTTCAAATCCTGTTTTCCTCTTAAGGCCAGGACTAGTTATAAACATATGGCACTTAGATTTTTATTTGTATAGTGTCTATCATTTCCTACTCAACTGAAAATCTTTCAGAGGCGATTGTGCCTTGTTAGTTGTCTAAGAAATCCAGCATGATTCATGGTAGCCTGACCTTGCAGGGGATTTATTTACTAAGTAGTAACCTAATTGAAAAGCATTGAAAACTTCAGATATGGCTATATTTTGGAGGAAGTTAGATTATTTTCAGTAATAAGTTATTTGACTAAATTCTCTCAAAAATCTAATGAGGGGCTGGGAAGGTGGCTCAGTGGTAGAGCGCTTGCCTTGCATGCCTGAGGCCCTGGGTTCGATTCCTCAGCACCACATAAGCAAAAAGAAAAAAAAGCTGGAAGTGGCACTGTGGCTCAAGTGGTAGAGTGGTAGCCTTGAGCTGAAGAGCTGAGGGACAGCGCCCAGGCCCAGAGTTCAGGCCCCACGACTGGACCCCCCAAAAAAATCTAATGAGTACATTTTGATCAAAATTAGTAATTAGCTATTGTCACTTTTTTTTTTTTTTACAATTTCTGGCTTGACTTGACTCCTTGATGTGTGATTTCTCACTGTGTTCTGCATCCAAGTTTCCATAGAATCTAATTCTCTGGGGAGTTTGACTGTCTTACCAAAGACACAGTCAGGGCGGATAAAAAGTAAATGTCTATATTCTGAAGAAAATAATCTTTCATATATATTTATAAATACATAGATACATAGATGATGCCTGCAATTGTAAAAAAATGTATAACTTTTAGATAATCAAACTTGACTCTTATTAGGAGAAAATAGTACAAATAAAGGTTGATTTCAAGATGATATCAAAGTTTTTTTTTCTTTTCTCATTACAAAGACTATAATTGGAAAAAAAAGACCATCAGTCTAGGATGGAATGTGAGGTAAGCAGCAATTTTTTAACAGCTTCTTAGAATTTGTTAATATATATTTTGATTGCAAAGATTCTGTGCAAAGGGGTGACAGTTACATGAGTAAGGTAATGCATACATTTCCTATTGAGCATTGTTACCTCCTCCTTTGTTTTTCCCCCACCATCCCTTCCCTCTCCACCTCCTCAACTTCTCCCTCCCCATCCCCTGAAACTGTAAAGTTCATTTTCAACATAGTGTCTGCTACATCTCATTGTTACAAGGGGTCAACCTGTATCCTTATTTCAGCATTTTGTTATTTCCCTTACCCTCCCCAAATTAGAAAATGAATATACAAGATGCAGGGCATTGGAATCAAATACAGGGACAACAGGGATTATACCATGGGGGAAGAGCATACAAAAGAAACAAAAAAAAATCACAGAGTACGTTGTAAGTATATTTAAAACAACAGCAAGAACGATAAAAAAAAACTTTTGTCTCCCTATCTTGGGGTTCATTTCCCTTAGCATCATCTTATATGATCATGTATACATCGCTTTTGACCTTTTCTGCTTGTCTTAGACAAACACTAGGTATTGCAAATAAGGGAAACCATGGGACCTATTTCTTAGAATTATTATTTGTGTTAACGTCTGTGTAGAAAAGGTTGCATGTGTGAGGACAAATTGGAAAAACGTCTGTGCACCTGAGTGTAAACTCTTTCTCCATTTGGATAAGCAAACATAAAGTACTTATGGAAAGGTAGGGAAGCTATTCACTTCTCTTCCTTCTGTAAATTGAAAATTAATCCTACACACAAAAGTAATGATATCTGTTTAATAGAATGTGACAATGCAAAATCAAGGCCAGACTCCTGTGATGAAGATGGCAGCAGACCCTCTCTATGACAAACACTGATAGCTTTGCTAGCAGCCTGCTGTGTTACACTCTTCTACCGAGAATTCCAAGTGGACTCAGCTGGTTCCAAATTATACCCTAATGATGTAGAAAACATTTTTCAGGCTCCATAGATAATTTCTGTTCATGTTATTTGCCAATAATACTTAACTGGCAATATTCATATTTTTCTGTGAAATTTGACATTATTGATGCAATTAAAATTACACAAAATTACGTGAAATATGTGCTATACAGAGTACTGTATATTAGACTTTATATGTTCTGCTAACTGGGACAATCTGATGATCCATTTGGATAGGTAATTCTAACTGATTAGCCAGTAAAAAAAAAGGATAGAAATTTAGTACAACCTTTAAATTCTGTTGTCAAATGTAAGATGATTTACAATAGTGATGGTGACAGTGAGTCACTTATTGAAACCTTACTAGGTGCCAGATACTGTTCTACAAAAGCTCATTTAGACTTCATAATAACCACATGAAGGTACAGCACAAGGCACTCCATTCCTAAATGAGGAAATTGAGGTGCAAAGGAAAGTCATCATGAATGGTTGACTCAATGAGTGAAATAAAAAATAACACATAGAGATATTTTCAATTTTATTTTTACTTAATGGTTACACCAAATCACCAAATCGAGCATTACCTGCGTTTCAGCTTGAAAATCTCAACTATTTCAACTCAGTCTGTAAATAGATATGGATAGACCTGTATTGTTATTTCTCTGTTGCTATTTCAAAAAAAACATCTGATGCTAAAGGGTTAATGTAATAGTATACTTAAAAAGCCATTACAATGATTATTGTTCGTATGTAGTAAGTAGTAGTCAGTTACTTTCAGGAGAAATGAACTACAGATGAGCTGAATTTTGAAGTTAGTTAATCAAAAACATTTACCATCAGTTGTTTATGTGGCTGTGTTTCCTCTTCTACTTCACTGATCAAACCCTACCTTTGATTTTATTCATATTTCATAGGTAGACAGCTGTCATAATTCATCCAGATCACTGTCATTCCTAAGAAGCCCTTTTCCTAGGGTTTGCTTAGTAGACTCCAACATACAAACTATTTGAGTGTTTTGTTTTTCTTTCCTTAAGTTCAGGGCAGTCATTCACCTGACCCTTAACTTGAAGATGGCTCTTATCTCTTTAGGATCTATAATTGTGTGATATAATTTAAATTGGACAAGTGAGCTCAGTTAACACCAATTTATCCAGTATGCTAAAGTTAAAATCACCAGTGACTATGTTATTTTATGACTCGCCTTTAAGGTACAGGGAGACAAAAAAAAACTCATGATATCTTACGTGCCCTGCCCTAGATTAAATATAACCAACATTTTGGGAGTTGTTCTGCCCCAAATTCACTTCAACTATCAATGGCTGTCTTGCCTAGTTTGACCTTGAGAAGAGCAATTCCAGTCTATGAATTTATCATGTGAAGAGTATCCCCAGACAAATGAGTTCAAAGGATAATTTTGAGAGTAACTCTGTTTAGAAAGCCTCTTTCAATATTTTATGGGCCCTAGATGTGAGGCCTACATGTAGAAATTCCCTTACGACATCATTCTATTTGATGATATGGTTCCCACAATTTGAATTATAGGCCTTTCTGAGAACTTGGTCAAATACATTGAAGAGATGAGCACTGCTTTGTCAAACCTGGCAGTAGTGGGCTATAGATAAAATTACCACAATACTTTTATTATGCGTGGTACAGAAAAAAAAAGAAGTCCTGTCTTTAGGGATCAGAGATTAGATGAGTAAGCATAAAGAGAGGCCATAGCCTACTTTCATTTGTTCCTCTGCACAATAGTTACAAGATGTATTGGAAGTAATCCCAGAAGATATATCAAGGGCTTTGGTTCTTTATCAGAAATAATTTTCATTTTCCAGTCAATGCATATCTTATTTCTTCCACCATTAATTCTACAATGTGGTCTCAATTATATCAGTAAGAAAAGTGGGAAACAACCCATGCTGACCCAAAATCTTTGAATTAATAAAATATTCCTTATCAAACTATTATACAGATCCATGCACCACGAAACTTGCAGGATGATTAAAATGACCCTTTGTTATGGGAATCAGCGGCAACGACCTGGAGAATTTAATTGCAAGAAAGTTCAATGTCACATAGCCCTGTACTTTAATCCATTAGCACTGCTGTGCATTTTGGAGGTTAAAACCTGACTATAAAAAGGAATCACTTCCTACCATTATTATCAAGTGGCTTTGCTACCAAGGAAAGCTTATTATTTAAAGGTATTTGATGTCATTTTGCTTTGGATCTCACTGCCTTGAAAACATCTTTTTAACACATAGAAATATTCATATTCTACAAGTTGCCCTTGCATTTCAAATCGAATTCCACCTACAATGGCATGGCACCAATTGAGAGATTCAGCTAAGAGCTGATTAAAACAGTAAAGACAATCCCAGGATTAACTGATTAGTCAGTTGCAAGTTAAATCAGGTCAGGTCTGGCTTCAAAATCCTTACAAAACTTAATCAACTGATAGTTTTGAATTTTCAGATGAATGAGTAAGACTTCTTCACAGAATAATGTTTTTATTCCTTTATATATAAATAATGCATCTGAATTACTGAACCACATTACTAAAGTGTCATTACTAAATTGTACCCCTCCAGTAATCAAGTAGTAATGACATAATACCATTGGCCTGAATTTGAACTCATCTCACCTTCTGAACTTGGTCAAATATAACTTAGACAAGTGAGTTATATATAACTCAAATATAACTCAGACAAGTGAGGCTGGTGATGAATTTCACCTCTAGAGATGAAATAAACCAGCCAAAGATGGCAGTTTTTTGTTTTTAATCAGGACAGAGATTTTTTTTGCATAAAGACATTTCAAATAAATATCAGCTATTAGTACTGTCGATAAAGAATTATTGTCCTTGATTTATTTGCACTAGCTTGAGCTAGACAGACTAGAAATAGCAGGTTGTGTTATGCTATGACATGTGACTTCTACTGTAAACAAATCCAATACACTAAATTCCTTTCATCTCCCCCAATGGGGGCTTAGAAGTTACTAAAAGCAACATTGTATTAAAATAACAAAATATGTCCTGTATATTTGAATGCAAATTCCAATCATGAGTTCGCTGAGGTCCTCTGTGATTTGGCTTTGTAAAAGGAACCATAGTTTGATAACTAAATTGAAATATGTAATAGTTCAGTTTTTTGCCTCTTTATATTATATATTAACTTTTAAAGAAAGACAAATGCTCTTTGTTAGAAGTATAAATTAAATATGTACCTAGTATGGTAAGATTTTAAGAATTAAAACCATAATTTAGTACTTTTTTAATCATTTGTTTTCATTTTTGCCATTTTTCTAAAATTTAGTTCTTCAGCAGTTAAATGCACTTTTTTTTGGAGCAGGGGAGTGCCAGTCTTGGAGTTTGACCTCAACGCCTAGGAACTGTCTCTGGGCTTTTTTGATCAAGGCTGGCATTCTACCATTTGAGCCACAGCTCTACTGCCACCTTTTCGTTGGTTAGTTGACCACATGCTAGCTTCCAACTGGAATCCTCAGATCTCAGCCTCCTGAGTACCAAGGGTTCCAGGCATGTGCCACTGTTGCTCAACTCAAGTACTTCTGATTATAAAAATCCTCGAGAATATAGAATAAGGCAAATATTTGCTGATAGGTAGAATTCCTGTTGACATTCCATTTTGTCTTTCATAATTCTACAACATGCTTTACAAAGGAAAGTGGAAAAATATTAAGGCTAACAAAGACAAGTCAGGTTGTAAGCTATTGCAGCTACTTGTCTTTTAGTTAGAGTAAAAAAAGTAAGCCAGGCCCAAAGAAACATAGGTCCCATGGTTTCCCTATTTGCAATAACTAGTATATGTCTGAGACAAGCAGAAAAGGTCAGATAAGTTGATGTTAGGTGAAATGAACTCCAAGATAAGACTCAAATGTTTTTTTTTCTTTCTTTGATTTTTTTTGTTGCTTTGTATTTCCCTCCTCCACGGTATAACCACTGTTTTCTCTGTATTTGAAATTGTTTAAATAGGGATACAGGCAGACCCAATGAGATGTACAAAAACGTTAGGTCGAAAAACAAACTTTACAACTTTGGCCAGGGACGGGGCTGGGGGGGGCAGCGGGGGGAGGGGGGTAGATAGGAAGGGATGGGAAGGGGAAACAAAGGAGGAGGCAACAATGCTTGATAAGAAATGTACTCATTACCTTGCCCATGTAATTGTAACCCCTCTGTACGGTATTTTCACAATAATAATAATAATAAAAGGTCTTTGCTGGAATCCCTAGAGTATAGGAGGCCCACAGCACCACTGAACCATTCAAGTACTCAGATGTACACAAGCCAGCCCTTGGATTAGATGCTGAAAAGCAGCCAGAGGAAGGAGAGAATAGTTAATAAACCAAACAACTAATGAAAGACCCAGCCAACAAAGACATAGTTACCTCATCTAATTCCATTTCATCAGGACTTTCCCATGGCTTGATAAATTTCCCACGAGATTTCTTCAAAGGCACGATTATTATGTAGTAACCTCTGCACAGGAATAGATACATACAAATAAGGTTAGTTCAGAGGGGAGCCAAAATGGACACTGCCTTAAATCTTCCACAGACCAGTGATGAGGGCTGAAGGCAAATTATAGATACGTAGTGACTTGTCCATTTCTTACATCAATGACAAATAACCAACTGTTTGTTCAATTTTAGAAACAACATGAGCCGACATTTCTGTGTGACTTCAATGATCTCATATGGTAATATCGCCATGGTTGGCTGCTTTTTATGAGGTATCATAAACGGAACAGGAACAGTTTGTTAGGATCCTGGTGTTGGATGCATACAAGGCCAGGATATTGAAATTTACCACCACAAGCTACTGAGCCACATACTTTCTATGATATTCACTTATAAGACAGTTTCTAGTGCAAATATATATAATACAATTTTTATCTCCAATAACCATGCATTATTTATTTATAAAATCCAAAATACTTTTATTTGTATTAAAAAAACATAAAAATGACTCATACTTGCAGAACAGTTAAATACAGTAAAATGTAAAAACTTCTCTTTCTTTTTAATGTACAAAATTGGAAAGCTTAAGGTAAGTACTGCAGAGATTTTAATATGATTTCTACCTGTTGTCTTAAAAAATACATCTCAAAATAGTCTCTCAAGAAGAAACAAATGTGTATGATTCCTTATACTAGTCTACTAAAATATAAGTACCATACAAAGCCATTATTTTGAATTTTTTTTATAATTTCTTTATAGTGTAGGGCTACCACTCACACTATTCTTTGATAGTAATTATGTAAGGCTCTTGAACATTATAGATCACTACTATCAACATGTTAAACTCTTCCTCATTATCAGGAGTTATAAAAAATGTCTAATCTATTTTGGCCTCCTACAGGATAGTCATTCAAGGAAAACAGAGGTATGGGCTATGCACCTGTGAGATTGGGTCACAGACAAAACAACTAGGAGCCATTAAATAGCTACCCAATTTAAAATATGCCATGCTCAGAACAGATATATGCTGTAATAGTCTGAATTTTGAAGAGTTAACCAAAAGAGCATAAATATCTGAGTAACATTTTTATAGTAAGCACATATTGAAATAACATTCTGAATATATTGGGTTAAATAAAAAGTTATCAGAAATAATTGAACCAGTTTGTTCCTAGTTTTCTACTGTCATTACTAGAAAATGTAAAATATCCATGTATGTCTCACTGTATTTTTTGAGCCATGCTTTTCTAGAGCACCTGAAACTATGTCTTGACCAGAATTTGGGCTCTGCTACAGATGTGCTGAAAGATTATCAGGCTACTTGTTTAACATCCTTAAATCTCAGTTGTGTTTTATGAAAAGTAAGTTAATATTCAGCTGTTACTTGGAAAAAATTAAAAGTGTGTAGTCAAACTGCATAGCAAGTGTGTGTGGCACAGTTTTTAACACCTAAAGAGAGTGCTTTAGGCTAGTTAGGCTGACCGACAAGGCAGGAGAGGTACAGTTGAGTTCTCTTTTTCATTCGGATGGATAAAATTCCGTGAGATGCAGGTAAAAGAACTTTTTTAGCTCCCCACCCTAATTGAGAATTCAAGACATACTAGACAATTACACCATGGTGTTCTGAGCAACTAATCAACAGATGTTCAGAATACTTTCCCCTATTCATTCATTTTCTTTACTACAAAAATAATCATGATGATCAAGGAAGGTGAGGAGAAGGAAGATGTGGAGTGTGTGAGAAAGCCAATATCTTTTATTTTATGATCCACAGTAAGCTGCCTCCCCTTCCCTTCCTCCCACCACCTGAAAGATTTGCCAAACAAGTCCATCATGTTAAATGAGCATGGAGAAGAATGACAGACTGCAACTGAGCGTACAAAATAACACTGCCGATGTACTTGATAAACACACTTGTCAAGGAGCCTCTTGTTTTTCATACCCACTGCACAAAGTCAGCAAAGCTTCTCTTCTCTTAAAGTAATGATACCTCTCATTACCAGAGACTTCTCATTGTCCTCCTGCAGAATCTTATAAATCAACATTGAGCTGATGAACCCTATTAATTTTTCTCTGCTTTCATACATTGAATTGCCATTCTTGTATATGAAAAAAGAATCCATTCTTACCTCTGCAGCACTTCCCAGCTATTCATTTTACTTGTGGCTGGGATAAGAATTGAACATGCACCTCCACAGCTATTAATAATCCCCGTGATCAGATATCTACAACCTTTTCTTCTTACTGATTGCCAGAACGTTTTTCTATGACATTTATAGTGGAACTTGCTTCAAAGCAGTGCTTGCACATTGAAAGGCCAGGGGGCATTGACAATCTGGAATTCTGTATTGTAGAAGACCTTGCCTATATCTAAGTCTACATTGCACATTGAAAGGCCAGGGGGCATTGACAATCTGGAATTCTGTATTGTAGAAGACCTTGCCTATATCTAAGTCTACATTACTCTACCTCTGCAAGGAAGGCTTTGTAAACTCTGACCTTTGCCTTATTTGCGATCTAATGTATTCCTAAGGATACAGCTCCACTTGGAACCTTCTCATGTAGTACTTGGTTATTCATCCCTCCTCTTCTGCCCCAGAACTTCAAAGTCAGTGCCTGAAGTTTCTTTATTGATTCTGAATTGCTTCTTGCAGGCATTCCCCTCACTCTTCCTTCTTGCTATAAAACAAAACAACTGCCCTCTATTTCGAAGTACATACATCTCCATAAGACTCATTTCTGTTGGGTTATTCCCATGTACCAACATTTGGAGCATCTCCTTTATGTTATGCATAGTATGTAGTGTGTGTGTGTGTGTGTGTGTGTGTGTGTGTGTGTGTGTGTGTGTCTGTGCATGCGTGTGTGTGTGTGGTATGGATATGTGATTTTCAAATTCATCCTTTCTCCCAAACTCTTACATCATCCTGAAGGATTTCAACATTCACAGGAATGCTTATGTGTCAAATACTGTTCATTTGTGCCTAGCCAAAGCCTGTGTTTTCCATTTGGTTAGTTGAAATCCATGCTGCCCACACTGCCTGAGTGCAGAGAACCAAATACTGCTTGAGAAATAAGTCAAAAGAAGAACAGCAGTCACATTTTTATGATTCTCAAATGTAAATAAGTCTAGTCTTCGCACTATGACTTCACTTATTAATTAATACCTAGCACTTCAGGTTTTTTATAATGACTTTTAAAAATATTCTCCCATAAAGTAAAAACCTTAAACATCCATATCTTTGCCCAAAAGATGTCCTTGTGACTTCTGTTCAGAGAAAACAAATGTAGACAAATTTTCTCTCATCATCTGACAACGCAGCTATAAGCCTATGTATACTTGCACATAAACTCTGATCTTAACTTTTGATAAAGCAATAGTGCTGGCTCTATGAGGTAGCTATTTCTTACATGGATTCACATTTTTTTTAACTTTCTGAGTAAGTTTATTAGACAACATGTACCTCTTTTCCTTTTGTCTTTCTTCTTTCTCCTTTCTGGGTCCTACCCATTAGCTTTCAATATATTCATCTTTGCCATTTAAACAAAAGTAAACAACAGTGGGTGCTGGTGGCTCAGGTCTGCAATCCTAGCTACTCAGCAGGCTGAGAAATGAGCAGCTCACTTTGAAGCCAGCCTGGGTGGGAAGGTCCATGAGATGCATATCTCTCATTAACTGCTAGCACATATGCTCTCTCTCTCTCTCTATGTTACACACGCACACACACACACACACATACACACACACACACACACACACACACACACACACACACACACAAAAGAAGGAAGTGGAGCTGAGGCTCAAGTAGTAGAGCACTAGCCTTAAGTTAAAAATCTCAAGGAGAAAGCCCCAGGCCCTGGATTCCAGCCTCAGAATGCGTAATGCATACATTACTCATATAACTGTAACCCCTCTGTACAGCATCTTTACAATAAAACAAAAAAGGAACTAAGACAATAACAAAACTACAGCAACCGCAACAAGCCTACCCTCCTTGAATGAGGACCTCTTCCTTACTACCCCTTACTGCCAGAGATTTCTAAGGAACTGTATTTTTTACATTTCCTTTCCTTTCACTCACATGCTAGTAGACCCTTGTTATAGCTGTGGCCTCCGATGTGCATCTCATTACAGTCACCAGGGATTTACAGGACACGAAGGAGGAGAAAGTGTTCGCTTTTGTTTTTTGGTATTTATTGTTTGCTACTGGGGATCGAACCCAGGTCATTGCACTTGCTAGGCAAATCCTTTGCCACTGAGCTACATCCCAGTCCACAGAAGAAGAATTTGTGATCCTTTCTTATCTGTGTGCCTTAGCCAAATCCTGCCATGTTAGTAAGACCTTCTATGAAATATCCAGTCCATCATTCCTGTTTTCTTTACCTCCTTGTACGAATAACTGAATTTTCTTAACAGATTTCATTACTACCTGGTACGCTGAATTAAATGATAAGAGTTTCTCAAAGCGCTGACCCAGGAATTCTCTTTTTCCCCACCTAGGGGCTTTCATTCTAACTCTTGGCATAGGTTATTAGACAATGGTTTACAGAGTCATACCATAGCCTAAAACTCTCTTTTTAATTCCAAGGACTCCAATTTTATGCCTCCATTTTGGTGTCATAATGTACCATACCTCATGAAACAACCAGTAAGTCTTTCAAAATAAATTGTGCACACAGGGCAGAGCCCTAGGTATTATCACTGACAATCTGCTTTTACTCCCTTCCTCCCTCTTTCCCAGTCTGTCTCCCTGTGCTAGCTTCCAAAATCTATCTCTAACACATTTACTTGTCTCTTGTCTCTATCTTAGAGCTATTCCTCAGGCCTCATTCAATTTCTTCTTGTCTGGACAATAGTCTCCTAACTCTCTCTTCCCAATGCCCATAGCCTTTTCTTGTCTAGTTTCTGAAATTTTTACTTCACAATACAAAATTGATTGTGTCATTTCTACTTGTTAAGACATTTCAATGGAGCTTCATTTCTCTTAGGATAAAGACCAAGAGGTATTACAAGACCCA